GCAATCTGGTTTCCTACAAACACGGAAGAAAAAAAACAAGGTTACGCTCTCTCTCTGCCCCTCATCATACGACTGCATTAAACATAGGGAAAAAAGATTTTGGTTTTCCCTTCGGTCTCAACCATAAGCTTTTACTGGAAGTTTTGTTTCGTTTTGTGAAGATTTTTCGAAAGAACGAAAGGAAAAGGAGAAAGAAATACAGCCTCAATGTTTTTGCAAAATTTGACTAAACGACTGGCAGATTACAATAAATTTTCATTTTTGTAAAATACTAGTTAAATTTAAAAATCTGAAATCTTAATTACCCTTGTGCGGATTAGTATCGTATATTCGTGCAACAAAGAAGAAAAAGAAACCCATGACATTTTTAAGAAACTCACAATTTTTGATGTTTTCGATGTCTGTGCTGAGACTTGGAATGAAGCTAATTAATTTTTTTTTTTTAAATAACTTTTTTTTTTAAACTCATAGCCAACTTACTGAACTAAAAGAAGAAAAATAATTTATCATATTGTTTAATGGGTACCAGAAATTAAGTGATTCTCTTAAGGGATTTACCTTAAGGATCTCTTAAGGTTCTTAAGGGCATCAACAATTTTAGACACCCTTGGTAAATTTATAAGGATAATGACGTAGACCTTTAACATTGCGATTTGAATAAGTAGTTTTATTATTTGGGAAAAGTATAAGCATAGAAAGTCTCACATCTAATGGAGGATCTGTAACCTAAGAGTTTATATAAGGCTGGAGGTACCATTTTCATCTCTCCTGTTTGATTATACCTGCTTGAAAAGCGCTTGTATGTGCTTATGGTCGCAATTGCTGTCGGATATATGCAGTGCTATGGGACTGAGTGGTTTGAGTTGCTGTATTTCTCAACGTTACGGCAGAGCTTAAATTGCACCGGAGACCGGCTTTTCCGTTTTTGGGTAAATTATAATTTCAGACGAAGTGCGCCGGAGCCCTAAATAAAAGGGCTTCGGCACTTAGTAAGCATGCCTTAAAAATCGATTCTAACTTCTGAATGCGGGCCTGTCTTTCCCCCTCACACTCAAACTTTGTACAGAGTTTGAGACTTTTAAGGAAAGAAAAGGCCCCCAATCATATGTCAAAGGCTTATTCTCCAGGATGTGCAATAAATTTATAGTGCTAAAAGTTATACACTGGTCGTGCATGTTCCACGCTAGTAACTTCCTACTGCAGAGCTGTTGTAGATTTTTTGAATGATGTAACCAAACAGGGGAACCCCTGCTGTTACTTGTACCGAGGAGTCTTATGTTTATTCTCACGTTGTTATCGGATCGCGTTCAGGGAAAATTTATGCTTAGCGGTTAGAATTATATCGACAGGCAATGGCGATCAAAAATTCTTGAACTCTTCTCTTTTTATTTTCAAAGCTACACTTTTCCATTAAAATTGCCTTCCATATCTTCATACTGTTTCCAGAATTGTCAATATTCTCTTTAGTGATGCTTTAAACGTTTTATCTTTTTTTTACTGGTATGCTGTAAAAAGGGTATGGTTTTTGTATCTGCCATCCCTTGAAATAGAGCATTATACGTATACTCAGAACTTATATTCAGACGGAGATCGGCCGAGTTGCTTAGCCGAAGCCCCAAATAAGACGAGCTCCGGTAATTTTTTTTATTTGACTGTTTAAATTTAATTTAATAGTTTATTTAGATTTCTCTTTATTTCTCTACATTTCATTTCATTTAAATTATTCAGTTATTTTAATTTTTTAGTTATTTATTTAGTTTTTGTCTTGTTTTTGTTTTTCTTTTTCTGCGCAATTTCAGAACATTCAGTGCGAACTGAACTTTTAGTTTCATTGTTGCATGATTTTAAATTCGGATATTTTGTCGTCGGCAAAATCCCATTCCTTTCTTCCAGTTTGTTCTGGATTTCCGGTTTTTAATGTTGAATGGCTGAAAAATAAGAAGCGCTGTTTTAAAATAGGAAAGCTGCACAAGAGAAATTGTCGCCCGCAAGGAAACTCTTGTATGCTAAAAAATGAACAACTTGTGAAAAACCGCGAAAGACTTAAAATGTTTATGCTCAACAAAAGCAATATGTCACAGGTAAAAATTGGAGGCTCCATTCAGCCCACCTGACACGAGTGTCCCTATTGGATTAAGGAACACTGCTCACACTGCTGAACTGACGTATGATTTCCTGGAACGATTTTACCGGATCCGTTATAGTCCTGACTTGCGTTTTAATTAATGAAAATCGTTTCGAAAGTTCCCCGAGTTTCTCTTTCTGGAGGAACACTTGTGTGCGTGGATTCTGATTCTAAGATTTTGAATTGATTTTGTGCTCTTTTTAAATAGGACTTTTACGACAATGGTGTCCAAAGTTTGCTTTCTATTGTTACGAATTTTGTATTTAGATAGCTAATGTTAGTAGAATGATAATTAAAATTGTTTTATTTCCACGTGCAATGCAGCACATGATAAATTTTAAGAGAAAGCTACCACAAAAAAGTAAAAATATAAGAGCATGTGCATTTAACATTGAATAAATGGATATCTGTTTTGTTTGTATTGAAATTGAATAAATGTAATTGACTACTGTGTTAGCTGTAACCGTAATTCCATCCTCTTGTTGGTTTCCAGAGAAGCAAAGAAATTCCTACAACTCTGTCGTGACAGATTAAAAGCTTAAAAAAAAAAAAAAAAAAAAAAAAAAAACCCACACACACACAGAAGACATCTCAGCTCAGTTGCTTATGCTTAGTTACTGTTAATGCCATTTGTTTAATTCCGCGAGAAGTGAGATATCTGAATTAGCTTTTTCTTTGAACTGCGCTGTATTTTAACGTTTTTAGTAGTTTAAAGTATCCCTACTGGTTGTATTGCGTTCTATTTAACGTATTTGCGTTCTACTGATTGTTACTGCCTGGTATTGTGAACACTTGTACGAATATCTCGGAGGAAAATTCCAGCGTTTTGTTATATTTCTTGTGATAAGAATAAATTTTATTACCTTTTTATCGGACTTGTGCATTCAATCTATTATACGAACCTGTACACACGCAACACTATTATAAAATGGTTAGTTAACTTTTAATCTAAGTGATCCTTTTATAATAAAGTTTACACATAAATACAGAATGAATGAAATAATAAATAATTTATATTTCAAACGCTATTACATCGAATTATTTAGCAAAGCTTTGTGTTTTATTTTATTATAATAAGAATAGATATACTTCCATAAATTCGAGGCGTGAAAAAAAAAAAAATTTTGAATTTGATAAAACAGATTTCTATTTGATTTGTAAAACAGACCTATATTGTATAAACTATGTTTAAAAACATTGACGTTTAAAATCTATATAATTCCTAAGTTTATGTACAAGAAATATAAATAAGCGAAAACGCATTTTGGCATTATGATATGAATTTAATTCATATTATATACTGAATAATATATATCTAAACTGATATATTTTGACGTGATCGACTTGACTTTATTAATATAATTAATTAATCTTTTGGCGTTCATTAGTGATTCCAAGGATTCGATTCCTGCGGTTAGTTAGTTTTAGGGACTTTCCCCCAATCCCCAGGGCCTATAATTACAGAATCTTTTGTAATAATCTAGGACCCTTACATACATTTACTCTGTAAAAGACAATAAATTTGTCAAAATATGGGCCCCTGTGTTTATGGATGAGTCTTGAGCAATATCTAAACGTTAAGAGGGCAGTAAGAATAGAATTTGTCTCTAAAAGCTATACATGAAGATAAGACTAAGCTAGGTAAAGTTATGTTTAGGTACACCTAGCAAAGCACATGTGGGATGTTTGGTTTGGGAACATGGAGGTTAGAAACCTCTTTGTTTGGGAAGCAGAACTTTCGAAGAGAAATTGGGTCTATGTAATATTATGGGTATTATGACTGCGAAAACTCGATGATGTTAATTTCATCGGGAATTAACCTAAGACGGAATATCGGTTTTCTACAGTCATTCAAGGCAAGGCCAATATTTCGAATTTCGCTAAATAAATACCTATTTACTTGCAGCTCATTAAAAATAACAAACTTTGGGCTCATTCATGCGTTAGGCTTTAAAAGGATAAGTGAAGGGGAATAAGTGAAAGGGATGTTTCTCTACTAAAGAGGGAAAATATCTCCCTGTCAAGCTGTTTGGGCGAAACCGCTTTCGTGTATTTCATTCTAGCGCAGCAAACGAAGACCAAACGTCTGTAAGCGTAAATTTCTTTTAACTTTCTGCACATAATTAAACTAAGAATCATTTTCTATACTGTAATCAATTGTTTTTACTTTATACATATTAGCGTTATTGTCTGTGATTTACTAAACGGGTTAAATACGTTTTGCGGTACGCAACCTTGAGCAAAAAAAAAAAAAAGTTTGTTTTCTCCCAAATGCTTTTGTAATTCTTTCCTTGTAATGTTCGTAATCATTTTGAATTGCTTAGTAATAGAAATCATTTTGAACGGAACAAATTTCAGCTCGTATATTTGCTTAGTAATTTTTTTTTTTTTTTTTTTTTTTGTGTGTGTGTGTGTGTACGTATCCTTTTAACGCTCCCGTCTTTATATATATATTTCGTACTTATTTTAAGTTGTATGTAGGCTGTTGAAATTTGCGGTAATTGAATGCTGTAATATTTTGGCTGAATGAATTTTTCACTTTTTTGGAAAAATCTTGCTCTCTTTTTCTTGTAATGCAAAATAGTGTTCTCCGTTAGGCAGCTTAATCCGCTTACATTGTCAAAGCAATAGTTTTTGAAAATTTTGAATTTTTAGTTTCTATATTATGTATTTTAGTTGTTTTAAGATAGAGTTTGTGTGTTTCATCCCAGATGAAATGTATTAATAACGAATTTTAAAATGTATCAGTTATAAATTAGTTGTGTATAAATTAAATGTGTTATTTACAATCATTTTTTGTCATATTGTATTAATATAAAACTGTACATTGAAATATACCTTACTTTTCAATCTTTCATATTTTAATCTTTTGCAGGAGGGTCCAAGAGGATTTCAGCAAAATCATACACAGAATATGGCCCATGTAAGTTGAACCATACTGGAATTTCTTTATTTGTATGGTTTATTGATTTATTGCTTGCAGATTTTCAATTTGCAAGATAACCATTATTAATGCTATGCAGGACTGGTGCCAGAGCCTGTGTGACTGCACAGAGCGGCAGAATTCAGGGGCTGCAAATATTTTAGAATTAAATGAAGCATCGAGCAAAATAATTTAATGATGGAAAAATTTTTAGAATTTAGGTATGCAATGGCCAGAAGAATTTAGGGGCGGCTAAATTTTTAGAATTTATGAAAGCACCCGCCAGTAGAATTTAGGACTTGCAAAGATTGCCTAGCACAAAGATTACAGGTGATAAAAAGCCTAGCACGGGGCATTAATGCTACGTATCGAATTTCAGTTATCAGGAAAAACAGTAAACTTGTATGTAACATTATCGCATGAAAGTGTTTTTAAAATACAGTAAATCTCCCTTTAATGGATATTCGCAGAACCAAAGGTTTTTTGTATTATTAGGGAATATCTACTAAGTGAAAGTTCACTTGTCTTCTGCAGTAAGGGTTCGTAGATACAGGAATTGCTTATTAACAGAAGTTTGACTGTATATTTTTACAAAATTTCCTGACTGTAAAATTTTTTAATTTATTCTGGGTGGAAGGTAGATGAATAAGAATCTTTTAAAAACAACTTTAATAATTTATGAGCGAGAATGAAATGTCCTATAATATTAGTATAATTCAGATGTTGTCTAATGGAAGAGAAGACTTAATTAGAACGTTTCGATTTTGTTGTTTATAAACAGTTCTGATTCATAAGACCCTTTTTCGGAAATCATAATTTTTGCCATTGATATCATTTGCATTTTGGAAGTCAAAATATTAATTTTTAAAATTAAGATATGGACAAATACTTTTGAATGCAGCAGATATTGGGAAAATTATGTATTTATATATCTGATAAAATTAGAAATGGTAGAAAATATACAATTTTAAAAGAGCTGAAATATGTACAATTATCTTTCCTCCAAAATTTATTTATGGAAATAAAACCTTTTGATTTTTTGTAAGCTTCATATTTGTCAAAAAGTTAGTTCTCTTGCTATTTTCAAACAAGTATAGTAAAGATTTGATTTTTGTTTTGTGAATATTTTGAATAAATATTCTTTTATATGTAATATATATATTTTCTGTCTGTAGTATATTGCAGGAGAAGGCACTGTAAAACCCTATCCAAACTTTGATCCTAAACAGGATGCTGAGGCTCTTAGAAAAGCTATGAAGGGATTTGGTATGATCATATTTTTAATAAGTAATAATTCTGTTATGCATAAAAAATACACTTTTATGACATCTGAAGGAGGTCTATTTTATATTGACTTAGAAATTTAAAAGACAGATGTATTTTTTATGATTTAATAATTAATTATGTGTCATCTCTCCTTCTTCAACAGTGCATGTTTTTAAATAATGGCCAAATATATTTGAAATATATATTAATTTTTGAAAACATACTAGAATAATATTTATTTATATTTTAAAGCATTATGAGGGTATAATATACTTTTCAATGATTTATGGCTATTTTCAATTTATTATTAGAATATATTAAATTTTTAGATTTCTAATTATTAAGCTCTCTGTTTGCTATTATCCTAATTCAAATATTTGTTCTATCAATTTATTAAAGGCCCGAAAATTTTTAACATTTTGATTTTTTTTTTAGGAACTGATGAAAAAGCAATCATAAAAGTTTTGGCAAATCGTTCTAATTCTCAAAGAGTTTATATTAGTGTAGCATTTAAGCAACTATATGGCAAAGTATGTATTATATATTTATAGTTTAGAAATTGTATAAAATTGGAAAATTAGCATATTAATTTAAGTATATTTAGGAGTAATGAAAAAATAATGCTACTTGCATAATTTGAAATCGCCATTTTGACAAACATGGGCTATACTCAAGCAATACAGTTTGCCACCAGAAATGAAATAAGCACGATATCACCATATACTCATAGTATCTTTGCACTGGTTTTTCTATAACTTCAGCGTATTTTTTGGATAATCCAGCACTGAAGTATTACTCCCACTTGGGTTTTGATGTGCAGTTGTTGCATATGCTTGGAAGATCTATGGAACTAGTGAAATATGGGCTGCAGGATTTGAGCACTTTAGAATTAACCATTTGAGTGCTGAAGAATTTTCTTGTATATATGCTAAAAGTGTGGAATAAAATGCATAGTTATTTGTTTTATAATTATGTGATTTATTTGAAAATATTAAGTTTACTAGTAAAAATTCATTGATATTATCACTATCGAGAGTACTTGCAGTTATTTCAACATTATCGCTGCTTTCACTAATAAATTGTAATCTTTTGAAAGGGATGATGATGCCACTTTCATTATCACTGTTGAAATACACTGTATCATCAGTGCTTGTATCATAGTCACTGTCAGATAAATCAGAATTTGACATGTTGCTTTTTGGTTATTATCAATATAACACTTATCTGAAAAAATATTCAAAAGTTCTTAACTTCTTAGGTGCGGCTGAATTTTGCATGGAGCTGTTCCTTGGTATGGCAGATTTCCACGGGAATTACGTGTAAACGATACAACAGTAAAGCATCAATTCATACCTGACACTGGCATAACAAAAAAAGGATATTCTGTATGTATATACTGTTAACTGTGTTACAAGATGCTGTAAAGACGAAATATGAAATATAACATATGAAAATGATCATTCATTTTAAAGGGTGGCCCACTGTAGTAGTGCTTTATACTGAAAAGATTAATTCTTAGCTTATTAAAAATCACAGTTGAATGATATGAATATAACTGCTCTCAATTAATGTGAAAATTCTAGTAATAAACTGCTGTGTGATTGTGCTTGCACACATTTTTAATATAATGCAAGACAAGCGTCATAATGCACTTTGCCACATTTTTGTCACAACACGAGAGAAGTGTGATAGCACTTCACTGCACTTAAACGATTAATCACCAATATAATTTTGTTTTTCCGGTATTGGTGTGCATACTCAAAACATTAAAAAACTCTTGGGCTCAGCAAAACAAAGCAAACAAACAACAACAACAAAAAAGAAAAATTTGGAACTGTTTAATATGACCTAGATTCATGCATAAGGAAATTTATTTGATGTTGAATAGACTATTTTTTGGTACTTTAAAAGTCTTGAGGTGCTGGAATAACTAGTGCATATTTTAGTGAATTTCTTTGTTAGATAATCACAAAGTTTGAGCTTACATTTTAATGAATTTAGTTATCAGATAATGTCAAAACTTGAGCTTATATTAAATTTTTTATATGCTGTATGTATAATTTGTATCTGTTGATCATGTACCTAATTAAAGAGTGATATGTGATTATCTAACTAAATAAAGAGCCATCTGTTCCATAAATGTTCTGGTTGAATAATTGGTGTAAGTTTAGCAGGATCTATATGAACTTTCATGGCCGATGTGAAAATACATAAGTTCTGTAAACTGTTTACATACTTTATTTTAATAATTTTGACAATAAATTTGACAGCATTAACTTTTTATATTTTTTAGCATAAACATTATTTATTTTATTAGCATAATTGTGAATGTAAAAGCTGTACTAATTTTACAGTTATCTTCATGAAATTCGTTTTTAGGATTTGATTGCTGATTTAAAAAGTGAACTAACTGGAAATTTTGAAGATGTTATAGTCAGTTTGATGACTCCATTAAATGATTATTTAGCTTCTGAACTTCATAGAGCCATGTCTGGAATAGGTACAGATGAAGATGTGCTTATTGAGATTTTATGTACTCGAACAAACCAAGAAATTTGGGCTGTTAATGAAGCTTATAAAAGATGTAAGTTACATAATTTAAAATACCACAGTTTGTCTTTAAAGATTTTATTACCATATTTAATAATCTTTTTTATATAAATAAGCAAATACATACGAAGTTTGTTATTTTTTGCCCTCTCCTTTTGCTTTGATTGAAAATTTGTTACTTTTCCGTTTTGCCAGGGCAAATCTTGCCAAGCAGACTTTATTGGCAAAAACACTTAGTACAGTCAGAAGTCGTTAATCCGGACTCGTCGGGACTTTGGCGATTCTGGATTATCGATTTTTCCGAATTATAGATCATCAGTTTAAATCTGATAAGATGGTATGCAGAAATTATAAAATTAAAAATATGAAACCATAATTTATGAAATAAAGAACAATTATGATCTAAAGGGTATCAAAATTTACCAAAAAAAAAAGCTTAATATTTATTTGTGTACTTTATTAAACATTTCTTTCAATGTAAGTTGTTTAAGTTGCTTCATTTTATGTGATAATACTTTCTCTTTAATTCTATAACAGATGTAATTTCTTGTTCAGTTACAAAGTTCCGCTGTTCAAGTCCTATAATTGCTGTGTCGAGAATACTGACTAATTTGTCAATTGAAATTTTTTCGTTTTCCTCTGTATCACTTTCTTCACTATCGGAAGCAAATTATAATGACGAGGAATTTGATTTAAATCATATCAAAGATGGATTACATTGAGATGAAATACTACATTTCGTAAGGAATTATAAGCCAAATAAAATAAAAACATCTGCCCTGAAGATAAGGATAGTGCTGACAATTCATTGCGTGCTGCGGCGTTTCCCCCCTCCTCGCCGCAGAGCATCGTGAAATTGATAAACAGGTTTCGGAATAGTTAGAGAAACAAAAGATATGCCTTTATCTATTTTTTGCAGCAATTCCACTTTTTGTTTGATGGACATCGAAACATACTTTTGCTTTGTAGATCTTTTGGGAGCTCCAGCATCGGAAATTCTATTTGATGTAATCGAAAGTTCAAGCTTACTTTTATAAAATTACTCTAACAGTCTGCAAAAAATAATAAGCTGGATTCAATTCGAAGATTAAGGAACAATGCAATCTGCAACATTAACTGAAATAGATAATTAGAAAATTTTAGCTTATACCATCCGTTATACATTAAATGCGCATGCGTAAACGTATTATGCGCATGCATATGCAAAGCCGTAAAGGTCTTACGCGCATGCGTAACCGCTTACGTGCATGCGTCGTGCGCAGAAAGTTTGTAGCTTTGAGGTCCGGATTATAGATCATTCCAAATTATGGGTGTCCGAATTAACGACTTTAGACTGTATACACATAAAAAATGTCGACAAGAGATCTAAGAATATTTTATTTTGAAGGTATACAAATTTTAATGTCGTTTAAAATTTTCTAAAAAAGCGAATAAATAAAGACAAATTTGTGAAAAGACATTAATTTAGAATTTACTTTGATTTCATCATACTACATCCTGATTCGCTGGTTCATTACACATGACCCCAAGTGATCTCATCTCATGTAAACTATGCTACAATAATCTAATTCTCTCAGTAATTATCTACATTAATTTCAAGTTAAATCTTAATTTAAAATACAAGTTTAAATGCTAGTATTATTTCAATTCATACGAATAGCTTACTCTGAAATTACATAAATCCGCAGTGCTTTACTTCTCTAGTGCATTCTCATATGAATTGACGAATTCAACCCTTGATTTTGCCTTTTCTATATTTTCGCCATCGGGTGAGCAGTGTGATTTCATCCTAATTGACTTGATTACCATGCACGAATGGCCTCAGGGCATAAAATTGAACTATTCGGTAAAAGTTCTATGTAATTGTATGCCAGTATTAAAGAAACAATCAATCTGATAAGAAATGGCTGCAACTTGTTTTGAAAATCTAAAAGTTAAAGGTTACCAGTGAGGATATTTCGTTTGGCATTGATTGTACCATTACTGGTGACTTTATCGTTTGTGCCAGCAAAACGGAAAAGTACCGAAAATTGAAGCATTCTATCAGGAATAATTATCCTTTATTACTAATGACCCCCAGAAAGCTCTTATTTAGTCTCTTATACTGTTCTGTGTTTCCATAACATTATTACTGTGCATTATGTAATAATTATTTATCTCTCTCTCTCTCTCTATATATATATTATATTATAACCTGTTTGATATTTTGGACATTTTGAAGAGCAATGCAAATTATGTCATAAAAGCAAAGCACACCTTGTGATGGCATGAAAATGGCCATGTTATTCAGAGGGTTACTATATAACAATATTAGTTATGAACTAGTTAACTTTAACATAAAAATATATGTATATTTCTTGAAGGATTTTTTTTTTTTTTTTTTTTTTTTAATTGCAGTTCAGAAGTCTGTTGTATGTTATGACTATAAAATTTAGTTTATACATGTTGAATACATTGAACTGCATTTTAACAATTTCTAAAATTTATATGTCGGCTATAAGTAGGCTATTTCCAAAGTTCTAGGAGTTTATGTATAATTTTTTAAAAGTTTTGTAAATATTATAATGCAGTTTTTGAACATGATCTTCATTTAATTGAATATACAAAAATACCCACAAAAATCTTAATTTTTTAAAGCTGTCCTGAAATAACTTTTTCAATATCTCCTCAATCTGCTTATTTATAGTATGGTTTAACTCTCAAATCGAACATCGCATAAAATGTTTTCAGTTATAGAAACACAATACTCCTTACAAACATTGAACAGTTTTGAAAGTATTCACACCCTCTTTCCACAGAAAGAAAATGACTGCTCTTTGAATCTTTCATGGTTGCAAAAATGGTATTACAAAAATACACTTGCATTGGTCAAGCAGATGAATCAAATTAAAAAAAAAAAAAAAAAAAAAAAAATGCACAGGATAGCTGCATAAACATGCCAAGACTTGTTTCTAGCCAAGAATGTTGCTTTGTAAGTTCTAGGAGTTGAACTAGAGCTCAAATCATAGAACTTTTGGAAGCATGCCATGTATGTGTTAAAATGATATGAAATAAGCTTGAACAAATCCATAAATTAAACAACATCCTAAATGTTACAGTAGTGTTACTAGGGGTAATAATAATAAGACCAAATGCTTTATAATTTTCCTTCAACTATCTATCAGCTAGAACCCTATTATATCAAAATGTGAGAGAAAAAATTATCTAAAAAATTGAAAAATAAAACACGAACTCAATATGTCAATGTGTAAGAGAAGCGAATTAAAAAATAACTAATACAATGTTTTATTTTTTAGTTCTTTTGGCTATTTTTTTCTCTTAATTTAATGTATCAGAATCCTGTTTGATTTTTTGAATTTTTTAGATTATTATTATTTTGATTTATTGAGTTCTAGCTGATCCAGCAAATGTTATAAAATGTGTCTTTCCATATTATAAAATTATTTATGTATTTCTTTCAAATTATATATGTACTTCCTTCAAAGTAATATATATTTCCTAAGCAAAATTATTTTGGACTTGCATTTGTAATTTTTTGTGAAGTAATAATTACCACTTTTTAAAAATTGTTCATTTTGCAGTGTATGGGAAGTCTGTAGAAAGTGATATTAAAAGTGATACTTCTGGTCACTTCCAGAGACTTCTTGTATCAGCTTGTACTGTAAGTGCTGTTACTATTTGTTAATACATTTTTAAACTGTTATTAATATTGATATTAGGGATCTGTGATGCTAAACTTAATTCTTAAAATTTCAAAATGTACAATGTAGTAGTCATATGTACAGGGTTCGTAGTGGTCCTTACAAGTACTTATAAGTCCTTATATTTGAAAATAAAATATAAAGGCACTTATAGGTGCTCACTTTTTCTTTAAAGCCCTTATTTTTTTTGTTTTTGTTTTTAGTGCTTATTTTTTGCTTTTAGTGCTTTTTTTTAATCCTTTTTTTTTTTTAATGAACGCGCATTTTTTCCCGTACTAAAGCCGAAACTAACTAAACAACTTTTGTTCTTTAAATGCAACGTCAGATGGTGAATCATGCTCCCGGAAATTGTTTTTCCCCCTTTCATTTCATAGCTGTAACATATGGTGCGCGCGAGAGTACAGACAGGTGCACTTCTATTGGTCAAAGAATTGCGAAAATGGTAGAAAATTCCGGTACATTCGGTATTCTTTTCCTCCCAACCAAATATTACACACGTTTGAATTTCTATCAAGATTTTAATAATTTACATTCTTGTTCCGCGTGGTGAGTTCATATTCGTGTTTGTTATGATCGCTATGCTTATATTATGAGCATATGCATGAATATTTATAATAATATAGTTGCAGTAACTGCTGAAGTATAGATAAACTTCCAAAAATTGGGTGTGTTTTTACACAGATTAGCTTTCTAGGGAATAATATTCGGAATGGCTTAAATAAAAGAAAAGTAATCAAATAGTAAAAAAAATTTTTTTTTTTTTTCTTTCCCCCAATACATTTTACAGTACGGAGGTTTGGAGGTTCTCCTCTTTCTCCGCGAAATCTCTAATATTGAAGCACCGGACTTATTTTTTGTCACTGTCCAATCTGGATTGAATATGACTAAAAGTTCTTGCGGTCTACCCAACCCAAGCGAAGATTGATTCTATTCCGGAAATTTAACGCAGTCTGTTGAAAATTAGAATCAGAAAGATCCCAGATTAGTAAGTCTCTTTCTTTTCCTTTATTTAGTTCTTTATTCTCCGAATACCAGCAGCTGTTGAATCTGATTGCGTAATATCACATGTGGAAGAATACAATTGCGCAATACAACGTTTGCGGTATTTTGCAGAGATAATTAATTTTGATGTTCAGTCTGAGATTTGTTTATAAACACTTAACAGAGTTTTACTGTGCTTTCTAAGCAGAATATATCTCAGTTCCGTTGGTCTATTTTTATATGATGCACATATCGAAATGTCAAAATCATTTATTTACCCAAGAAAATCTAAAGAATGGCTACAATTTCCCCCACTCCTCTTTTTCCAGTTACTATCCGGAATATTCAGCAATTTCCGAGTATGCGAGTTTGTTAAGCTTTTACTGTTAAAAGAGACTGCATGAAGCAATTTCCCGTCTTCTGATTTCAGAAATACGCTTCTTTTTTACTTAAATTACTTTGCTTGAAATATATGTAAAGGGAAAACTGTTATGCAATGAAAATTTAGAAAATGTTCAGAATTTTGATTTAAGTTAAATTATTTAAATATTAATATGAGTAAAAAATAAATTGTATTTATTTATTAGGTGCCAAACGAATACAATAATAAATATGGCTTATTATTATTTATTATTCTATATTTTGAACTGAAATTTGCATCTTTAAATCTTGTAATATAGTGTAGTTCTGCATAGTTTTTTTCCCCCCTCTCATTGTAAAACTAAGTTCTGTAAATTGAACTGTTCATTTAAAATTTAAAAAAAACAATGTAATTATTTTCCATGGTTGAGGTAATGCTCATTCTATCTTAATAAATACTGAATTGCATACTGAATCTTAATAAATACTGAATTTTTAAATTACCAAGTCTAATTTTTCTTTTAAGGTTATGCAGTTGTGTATAATGTAATTAGACAGGTGCTTTTTTTTCCTTAAAATGTGCTTGAAAAGTGCTTATAGGTGCTTATTTTTTTAACTAAAATGTGGCTATGAACCCTGTATGTAGGTTCATCACACAAACACATATGCATGTTCACAAATACACACATGTAGGATATTTGTAAATTGTAATTTGCAACAGTTCTTTGAATTGTTATTGATCTCTTTGATAATGAATTAGAAAAAAAAATTAACCCATTTTTCTATCCAAGTGAACAAAATATGTCATAAATAAGGTAAATTTAGTGTTTGAAATATTTTTGACAAATGGTTTTCAAACCAAAGTCTAGGAACACATATGCCAGTTTATGAAAAGAAAGGATACGCTGATAGCAGCAGCAGAAAATTAAGATTTTATTTATGATTAAATTGTGTCTATGATTTAAACAAGTCAATTAAACGAAGTTTTTACCTGCATAAATTCATTTGTCTACATGTTTCAGCAACACATAAAACAGCCATTGTTAAATTTCCCTTCCTAAATTTGCATAGAATGTTTTTCCTTTCCTCTTTTTATAAACAAAAATATTTGTCTTTTACTAGCCTTTGTACCAATAAATATACATGTAATCATTTAAATTCAATGTAATTATTAATTGGGTAAGTAGGGGTAGTCATTATTTTTGATACCTTGCATTTAAGTTGATAAAACATTTTAGGGTGTAATTTTATGCCTTAAAACATTGATATACATGTTGAAAAATACAGTATGCAAAATTCCTTGCAGTTTTAAGTTGTAGCAGTAAAACTGGTAGACTGCAAACAACTTCATGTGTATTGTTTAGTTGATTATAGGCATCTTAATCTTTAAGTGTTTATGTGGAGAGGAATGACTACTGTAATAAATTAGAGCTGCATTTAAGCAGACTGAATACTCAGAATCCAGTTATTCAGATTGCTTGTACTATACGTATTTTTTAAGTTGTTGAAAATAAAATTATTGAAAAAATTTACTCCAACCAGAAAACCCTCTTTAAATTTTTTTCATTAAAAATCCTGAGTTCATTATAGATTTCAAATTCCAAAATTGTGTAATATTTACTATATTTATTGAAATTATTATTTTACATCAATTAAAAAGAAGTCTTAGTTTTGTTTTAGTGGCATGCAAATAAATTTTGCTTTACTTAATGAAAAATAATTTTTTAAATTTTAGTAAAGTAAAAAATAAAAGCAATATTTTCTTTCATTGAGTTCTGTGCAAATAAAAATTAATTCCATTCTTTTAGTGTAATAGAAATGAGTAATGTGTTTAAGGAAATAAAAAAATTATTTAATTATTTCTTTTGTTTGAAAAATGTTTCACCTTTTGTTTTGCTTAATTGTTATTATTTTTTAAACTCTACATAAACAGTGTATTTAGCTGGATTTTTGAAATTCTTGGTGGTCTGTTGTTTCAGTTTAGTTTGAATATTTGGAGTTTTTAAATCTCGGGGAGAGAGAGAGGCATTTGGTAAGAGAGAACAGTTGGAATTTAGGGAATTTTAGGAAATATAAAATATGAATCATTTGGGAGCTGGAATAAAATATTGTAATAAGTAAATACAGTTTTATTAATTGCAATAAGCTGAAATGTATACATCAAATTTAAGTAAATGAATCTTCAAAAATGAGTCAATAACTGAAATTGATATTGTAGTGCAGGGATGACTGATAAAGACATGCCAAATGTAAAGAAGGTTAAAATTCATTGCTAGGTGGTGTGTGAGTTATTATTCTGTAAGAGGTGCATAATATGTATATAATTATTAAAACCATTGTTATTGATAACAGTAATGGCACAAAATGTTCATAGCAGTTCTCAGATAGGTATATTATAAATTGCATGCATTACATCTGATGTAAATGATATCAGTTACAGATGTTATTAAAAGTAACAAATTATAAATTAAATTAAACAATATGAAATGTTAACAAATATGGATATTGTTTTTAAATTGCTTCATTAATTTGAAAAATAAATTTGAGCTTATGCCGTGTTGAATAACAGCAATACTGCAAACTTTGCATTTTACGAGATCACATAGATGATATGTATCCGAGTATTGTAAGCATTCAAAATGAAGCGCTTAAGCCGTAGATGTGTCTAATGTGAAATTTGGCATAGTATTTTGGTTAATCAGAATGCTGATGAATAATTAATGTACTAGAGGATGTGGCAGAAAAAATTTATGTGATTTGGGAAACTTATAAAGTCTAAACCAAATAAGATGTGAAAACTTTCTTTTCAGTCTTTGAAAGTACACCTAATGGCAATTTAATCCCCCTGATTTTTTTTTTTTTTTTTTTTTTTTTTTTTAATATAACATCACTCAAGTGGTGACCTTTATTGTTTCTACAATAGTTAAGCCTCTCTCTGCTAGGCAAAACTTTATTTAAGAGCCATTTTGAGCATAGCAGCAGCAACTTGTTGTTGCATTGCCTCATTCAGAGCTTCCAAATTTTGGGGAATGATGTTACCTCACCTTGGCTTTCAGTTAGCTCCGGAAAAAGAAGTGCAAGGTGTAAAATTTGGCAAACATAATAATACCATGCAAGGAGACAACATATTCAGGAAACATTTCTTTGAAAGTTTTAAGTGAATGAGGAGTGTTGTGGAATGTTATGCCACGTTATTGGAATTGGATTATTCTCTGCACCATGTTCACAAAAAATTTCATCCCATTGAGGCTGGAAAAAGTTTTGAACCATGGCACAGTTGCTTTTCACAGTGATACTATTTTCTTTATAAAGTATGGATCCAACAAACCAAATTTATAAATGGCACACCATGCTACAATTTTAGGATCACAGAATGGTTGTTGGTGAAGCTGCTGCGTGTTCTGTCAGACCAGTACATTAAATTTTATTTGTTATACCTGAAATGTGAGAATGTGCAAAAGCATTACAACATCTCTGGGTTCAATATTAAGAACGTTGTGACACAATCTTGTATGAGTTTCATAATAGCTTTTCTGGAATTCTTGTCATTTTGTAGGGATGTGTTTCCGTATTTCGGTGCAAAATTCTTCTAGCACTCCAGTTAGATAACCATTGTACAGCCATATGTTTCCATGCTGAATGCTGTGGAGATTACTGAGTCAAAGCTCTGATGCTGGTCACAATTTTTTTTATCTGAAGTTGAACATGCAGACGTAAATTTATTTATTTTGTTAGGAAATAAGTCATTTTGATGTAGTGGAAAGTGGATGTGAAAGGCTCACTGTGTTCTTGTTGCCAATTCGGCATTGTGAATAAATTAATGCACAATGAAAATGCAATGCTTGAAAAAGCCATGGTTTAATTTGAAATGACTTGTAAATCTGTATTTGATGCTTCTCAACAATGTACTTACTCCCTGCGGGCCCATAGTTATGTTCCTCCTAAATGGGAGAGTTTTTTTCTGCCATACCCTATAGTATAGTAATGAACTTTCTTTTAATAGCTTTTGGTCACTTAAACATGTTTTGTGGTCTTTGGACTTTTTGTTAAATATTAGTTTTAATATTTTTATTTTTATTAATGAACATATATGTATAAAATTAATGAAAATAATTTTTAAAAGGGTGCCAGAAGTGAAGCACCTCCTGATCCAGTAAAAGCAAAACAACATGCACAGGTATTGCATAGATATTTTATACATATGTTCAGTACATATTTTATCTCATTGTTTTCTAGTGAAAATTTATGATTATTATATATAAAATTTACAGAAATTGGGTAAATATTATAACTATGTAAGAGTACCAGTAAAAATTTATATTGTTAAATTTAAAATATTAGTTTTAGTAAATGTCACTAATTATATCAAAATAAAACATGTTTTATGTTTTATTGGTCTTTTTTTGTTTTTGTTTGTTTGTTTCTTGTAGTAAGTACTTTAATTTTTGTTAAAATTTTTTCAAGTACTTACATCTTATTTATTCTATTTAAGTACATTTTAAAGCTGTCTTTAGACGGGAAGTATTTTTCCTTTTCTTCATTTAATTGTGTATAGAATTCAAGTTGAAATCTATAAATTTAAAATTCTGTTTTGACTTTAAACATAATTTATATAATCCATGCTTTTTATATCATTCCTGATAATTAAAATATTTTATGCAAAGCTAAGAAATTACAATTCATATGTGCAAAGGGTAGTTTTGCTGTCATTTCTTGAGTTCTGAGGTCAGGCAAGTTTAAACACATTTATTAATAAGCAATAATTAATTAATTATTAGTATTAATTCATTAAGCAATTAATTAATTATTAGTATTAATTCATTAAGCATTAATAAATCTAATCAAGACTATGCTTATTTATATAGTAAGTGTTATGTTGATGGGAAGAACAAAGTTAAATTTTGATGCTAATTTTAAACTACTAGAATAATTTTAATAAATGAATTATATTAGTATGTTGTTTTTACAATAAAAGGGAATATCTCAAATCAGAGCATATGTCCCAAGTAGCACGTGACGTAGCCAAGACGTTACCACGACCACTTTGCAACATCTTTGCTCCATCATGTGCTACTTGGGATAATGGATTATAAATTGTAATTATTTAATTATAATTTCTAAATTATTAACAAAAATATAACTAAATTCCCTGTCAAATGTAAATGATGTTTGTTATCCGTGATATAGGATTGCATGCATGCATGGACTGCTAAAATAAATTTAAGAGAAATTCTTTAAAGAAAACATTTCTTAATCGGGAATTTCATAACAACATTTTATGGTGCACAGCAGAGTAAGTTTAAATGAATAGAAAAAGGAATGCATATACTGTAAAACTTTAACAATTAAAAATTTTTAGGAAGTGGAAGGAAATGAATTGAAAGGCAATGTTAGCCAAGTCAAATTAATTTTTTATCTCAAAATATTCAATAAAACATTTTTTTCTTAAATGATGTTGCAATTATTTCCTCCTTCCTCTCTGATACATCAGAAATTAATCTAAAAGAGGATTAAATTCCAGATTTCCAATACAAGTAATTTATTTGTATTACAATCCTTCTTTAATTATTTAATCATCTTCACAAACAAATGTTATCTTGCTCTCCAATCTGTAGTAAAAGCTTAGGCTGTGGATAATTTGTTCTGGGTGCTTTGTTGGATAAGAAAATTATTTTATGGAATTTAACTTGATAAATAAATGAGGTTTTGCAATATGAGTCATGCCTATTCAGTTCATCTGCCAAGCTTCATGTGATCATACAGAATCAATGGTTCATTTCTCTATCACTATGGATAATAGTTTCCCATGCTTGGCCTCAGCATTTGTGTCTCACTTGTATAGTTATGGTAAGTACAAATATACTGTTTATTATGATATTGTGAGTGCATAAAGCATTTCTAAAATTATTATCTAATCTAATGACTGCTCTTTAATAACTACAGAAATATGCAACCATGAAGAAAAATGTTGAAAAGAAAGGCAGTTAAGCAAGATTTTAGTTAAGAAAGAAATCATTGAGAAGCACAAACAATACAAAAAGTTGACATTGAAAGATTTTATAACAAGTCTGCATCCAACAATTTGCATAATATTGAACAAGAAATAAGGAGGTTAATATAGTAAAAGAAGTCAGGAGAATATCGAAGAGGCAGCCATGTAATTTGGAAGATATGGGAAAGTTGCTTCCTCTGTGGATGAATGGCAAGCAACTAGTTAGTGTGACTGAGAATTTTAGGAATGAGAAAGCAAAGACCTTGCACTCTGAATTCCTAAGTAAACTGCCAGGTACTTTAACACAAATAATAATAATAATAATAATAAAAGTTTAAAATAGATATTTGATGAGTTTGATAACTTTAAGAGGAGAAGTAGCATCAATAGTGTTAGATAATACACACTCATCATTCTCCAGGCTGTGAGGACGACTAACTGGAGGAAAAAAAGAGTGTTCATTAGGGTTAAATTCTTAACTCCCAATACCATTTTGCTACTCCAGCCCATAGATAGCAAGATGTTTTGAATTTTAAAAAGGTTCTGACACCAAAGCACAGTTCTGTTATGCTTTAAGTTGACCGAAGGAACAAATAATATCTTCTAAGAGTTTTCAAAAAAGTCATTTTCACATCATAAATTGCCTTAAGATCATCAATAAAACATAAGGTATAGTCACCAAGGAAATTGTTTTGCTTTGAGAAAACTATTGTCCTAGTTCATTTGGACATGTTTTTTGAGGGGTTGGCATAAGCAAGAGATGTCAAGTATTTATGAAATTTGTCTTTAGAGCAGATCATATTACTGAAGGTAAATAAAGACAACATTCAAAGCATAGTGAGAATCGTAATCAGGAGTTGATGACTAACTTCTTAACTTATAATCTGCAAGCATCAGAAAGGTTTTCTGAAGATCTTGTCTGAGGAGATAGATAAAAAGCAAAAGAATTCCTTACTTCAAATAAAATTATGGAGATGTGTAAATAAGGGGAAGAGCACAAAATTTTGTAGAGAAGTAGTATCCTAATAAGGCTGTGGCAGTGTGAGTGATGAATCTGTTTTAGTGATAATTAAATATCACATTTCTGCAAAATGTTCAAAAGGAGGCAAAAGCAACTGTCATTGGATAATTCCTTATTAAAGTCGCACAGAAGAAAAAGTTTTTAGTAAGCCAACAGAAACAGAACTACTAGAATAATTTTAATAAATTAAAAACAACAGCCAACAGAACTACAATGATTCCATTAATTAGCTATGTTCTTTCTAAAGGTAAAGGAGAGGTTAATTTGTTTTATATGTTTTTACTGTAAATTTTGTATTAATTATTTTTATGTGAGTATTTTTGGGCCATTCAAGTTTCCATAACTTTTTATGATGAAATTTGCTTTGATATGTGAGAGCTTTGATGGATTACAAGCATGTTTCCAAAATGAAGTTTATATGTAATCCAAGGAACTACTGTATTTAAAAATGAACTTTGGATCAAATTATTCTGTTTAAAAATGATGTACACTTTTTTTTTTTTTTTTTTTTTTTTATAAAATGCAGTAATCTCACATTCATCTATTCCATTGTATGCTTTTAAAACATTTTAATATATTTTATTCAAAAAATTTAAAAATAAGGTCTTTAAATATTGCTTCAGTTATGTAATAATTGTTTTTTAATATTTTCTTTTTAAAGATTCTTTTTGCTTTCCTTATTTTGAACTAGAAAAAGAAGTCATAAATCTTTTTCCAATGATGGCTTTTTCCTGTCATTGCTTAATGCCTCTCAACTGAAGGTATATCCAGTTGCTATGATTGGGATGCCTCCATAAGGATACCCATATCCTTATGTGGGTCAGAAGCTGTTTGAAAAGACTGAAACCTTCACAGGGGATGTCCTGGCATAAAGATGCCACAATCTCATTTGTTTCTGAATTAAAAAAATAAACTGTAGGGTGTATGTGTCTTTATGCTGGACCATCTTTTTGCAGTCCAATTTTCATCACAATTAGTGCTTAATTAATTAAATAGAGGATTAAATAAAACTTTGGAACCTATATACAAATTCACCTAACTTCCAAAAAAATGGGGCCATATTTATGCAAAATTAGCACTTTTGCAAAGTCCACGTTTTCCATAAATGTGCCAAAGATTAATTTTAGCTTCTGCTTAATTAATTAATCAATAGTACAGATGAGAACTTAAATAAAGTTGCTCACATCCTTATGAATGTTGCTTTTCTGAAGTTAGAAACTAATCTTCATAAGGGTGTGGCACCTTACTGTCAAAATATCCTTTTGCAGGTTTCAGTCGCATATAATGGTGTAACCAACTTAATAACAAGGCATCTTTATGAAGTGGTCTGTATCATAATGGTTAGCAAGATACCATAATTTAGGGCATTGCGAAAGACTTACATTTTTGTCCATTTTCTTTTTCAGTTTTTAACATGGAAAATAAGGAATAGAATAATAAAAGATCAGCTGTCCACCATTTCTTTTTTCTCTTTGGTCCAGAAATGTGAGGTCATGCATCTAAGAAAACAAACGAGCCTTTTTCAATAAACATTTTCTGCCACTTGTGAAACATCAGATTTTTCTCTTAAGAGTTTGCTTAAAATACCACCAAAAAGCAATTAAAGAAAAACTTCAAAGATTATACAACACAAATTCAAAAATGTTATAAGAAATGGATGGAAATTTGCACTTAACCCTAAGTTAAGTTTAGCAGTCAGTTTTGCAACTGGGATTGCTGCTAAACAAGGTGTTATTTTTAGATCATCATCATCAATCTCTAAGAGATGAATAATATTCAAAGTTGTAGGGCTTAAAAGTTGTAGGAACAAAATTTTCCTGCAGTTGAGGGGGGGGGATCTAAGTAAAGTAAAATCTTTAATAACAACATCCAGCAATATCAAAATAATGACATTATTGAAAGTTTTAATTTAAGTTTGAAATTTAGGTCTAGGAGATAAAAATGTGCTATTGATCTAGCAACACTCTTGTACATAAAGTTGTGTCACATGTCAGAGGAACTTCACAGTGTGTCTTCCACTACCACAATCCTCACAATGTTCGGAATCCTTCTCACCTGCAATATTGAGACATTTTCATAAAATTATATACCTTAGTAAAGTAACTCGTTGATTGAAAACATACCTTTAACATAATATTTAAGAAAGCACATGATAACCCTTTTTTTAACATCCTGCATTTCAGTCAGACATTTTATTCTGCAAATTTCCCTCAGAAATCAATTATTAACTTTATTTTACATGAAATTGATATGCAATTAAAATAAAAACATTTTGAATTATTTTAGGCTTTATATCAAGCAGGTGTTGGGCAATGGGGTACTGATGAATCTGTATTCAATTCTATCCTTGTTGCAGAGAGTTTTCAACAGTTAGCCCATACTTTTTATGAATATCACCAACTGAGTGGCCATTCAGTAGCTAAAGCAATTGAAAAAGAAATGTCTGGTGATTTGAAAAAAGGAATGTTAGCAATAGGTAAGAAAAGAAAAAGACTTTACTCTGCTTCCCCCACTCCCTCTCAAAAAGTTGCTAATGTTAATGCTATAGAGTAGATGTAATATATTTGCTACTTCTAATATTATAAATAATTACTAAAATATATTCCTTTGAGCTATATTCCTTAAGATATCTTTGATTATTATTAGCAATTAAGAAAAATATTGCTAATTTTAATATGTTGACTGCCATGTGGGTTTATGAGAAAGTCTCCATCAGGCCATGCATGTTGCTGTAACGTGTGACATTGTTTCTGATCATAGCAAAATATAAGTATTTCTATATATTACCTTGTATATTATATATAGCATGTTTGCTTGTATTATGTAGTCAGAATAATATTGCCTCTAAAAAAAGTTATTTTGAACAAAACATTAGATGTGCTTGCAAATTATGCTACTAAAATAAAAGACTTTATATAGACCTATCAAAAGCACAAAAATGTGTTAAAAAAAAGGTTTGTCCAAATTGCTATAACCAATTTCGTATCTAGAATGTTTTGAAGCATTATATTGTAAATAATTTTTGTAATAAACCAAGTTTCTATATTTTTTTATAAAAATTTAATATCTTGGGAAATATCTTTCTGAAAACCTATACCTCATAGGTACTCAAACTCACTCAAATTACTTCATAGGTACTCAAATAAGTGGCCTTATCAAAACTTTTGCCATCACCCAAATAATGGGTGACAAGGCAGTTCACATGTTAAATGTTAAAAACAGTGAATTCATCTTAAACATAAGAATGAAATATTTTGAGAATCAAAGACATAAGACATTGCATAATTTGATAATAATGCATCTATATAGCCTTAGGGAAATTTCATGTATAATATAAGAGTAATTCCATAGTTTGTATGTAGAAAAATTATGAAATAATAATTTAATAGGACAACAATAAAATTCTTCAAAAATGCAATAAATCATATACCTAATTAAAGAAATTACTGAAGAAAGAGAATTCATTTGGAATTCTAATTTGTAATACAAAGTTGATATTGTATGAAAATTATTATTAGACCAGGGACTTCTAGTGGTGTCAATATCTTGGGAGGTTGATAAAGTTTTAAAGTGGCTCAGTGATGATCAGAGGGGTCAGAAGAGGAATATACAGCAGCTATTGATTAGTATAATTGAGATTCCATTGATTACAAAAAATTATTAATAAAACTGATAATTAACTTATTGAATCATATAAAATGAACATGAAGGAAAAAATGCACAGAAGTTATTTAACATACTTGTATTTTAAAAAGCAATGGTAGTTTTTTAACTAAACAATTTTTTATGCAATAAGTGCAATCAATATAAAGAAATAAATCACAGGGACACAAAATATTACCCTGTCTCTGAAAATATGATTACAAAATTTCATTAGGTATACTGTTATACTTAAGCTTCTGTGACACTGAAAATTTGCATGTGGCTTATAGAACCATTGAACTGCGATGCATTTGATCTTGGTATTCTGATGCAAGAAGGCTTGATTGTGTTGAGGGAGCACAAGTTTAATTCAAAACACATGGGCACACTGAGTTTTGGAATTTAGAAGCCATCCGAGAGAAATATCCCAAAATAAAAGTTATTAACAAACCAACATAATTGATCTATTCTTACATAATGGAAACAGACTTTAGTCAAGTAAAAAAAAATTAATGATGTGAATTGCATCAGTGCATCAAGCTCATCCATCACATTAATTAAAATTGAACTTTTGTGCAATTAGAATTTTTATTTTGTTTCCAAAACTTATTTACATCCATAAAATTTAAATAATAATAAAATGGAAATCTAATAAACTTTTTCTTCAAAATTCTTGTTCACATTTTTAGTCTAATTGTTTTTGTGTGCCGTTATTTGTATTATGATTATGTTGCATACTTCATGCTATAGAAGACATTGTAAGGGGGTCGATACAAGAAAAGGGTTGGGAATCTCTGCTCAAAATGAGTGGATAGCTTAGTCATTTAGCAGCAAATACAAAGTGTATTTTCTTAAAATTGCTTTTTATTTTATTGTTTTTCTGAAATTAAGTGACTTTAGACTTTTTAGTTGTTTACTTTTTCTTTTGTTCTATAAATAACTATGATTTTATAAAATCATTTCATTTTCTTCCATAAATAGACATTTAACTTACAGTGTAAAAATTTTAGTAATAATACATGTATAAAAATATCTAATTTTTGAAATATTGAAATATGTTTATGTATGCAATAAAAGTGCTATGTATGTAGTTAGCTATACCATTTTTTGTTTTCATTTTTCCTTCTCTTTTTACTTTTTAGTGCAGAGTGTTGAAAATCGTCCATTCTATTTTGCAGAAAAATTATATAAAGCTATGAAGGTGGTAATGAATATATTTGCTGTATATGTTTGTCAAATGTAGTTTATATGGATTTTAGAAATGTATTAGTAAAAAGCAGATTGCTAGTAAGTAACTCTTTTAATTATTATTATTTCATTAGGGTCTTGGTACAGATGATAGAACTCTTATACGTGTAGTAGTATCCCGTTGTGAGATAGACATGGTTCAGATCAAAGCAGAGTATGAACGAAATTATGGGAAACCTTTAGCAGATGCAATTGCTGTAAGTTATTAATTTCTGTATAAACTTATGATTTTTGTTTGGGGGTCAAGCATTTACAGTTATTAAAAATTACAAATATATTTTAATTGAATAATTTTCATGAAGTGTAGTTTGTAATTAATAATTTTTAAAACGTACTGAATGCAAAATTTTTTTATAACTCGCTAATCTTTTAATATATTAGCTTGCTAATGTTTTAGTATATTTAGAATATAAAAAATATTACTTATTGTAATAATAACAAATAACTTCTTTGTATTAAAAATGAAATGGAATTTTTAGAATTTGCATTATACAGTGCCTTTTCATATGTGACTATATTAATATATCAGGCATTGAGCTAAAATTTTATATCATATTGGATATGTTTTTCATATAAGCTTTGTAACTAAATATGTAAACAATAACACTTATGCCATATAACACAAGATATGTAAGCAGGCAATAGCTGAAGAAACATAATGGATCATATCTTTGTGTTAAACTTCTGTACATGGTGAATCTGAACAAGGGGGCAAAACTTTACGGGGTTGATAGAATGCAGCTATGCAATCAATATTCGCCATAGAATTTATAGTCGGAACACAAATGATAAAAAGTTTGAGTAAATTTTTTTATGAATGAAACATTTATAAAAGTTCAATGAAATATTTAAAGAATTAACACAAGAATGAGAGGAGATACTTCAGAAAACATTTTCTGAACAGGAATGTAATTGATGTACATGTTCAAAGAAATTGTTAAAAAGACCTTTCGTCATCTGTAATGCAGGCTTCACACTTGCGCGATAGGGACTGACGCACATTCGCAAAGACACGAGGCATTTCCCGAGTATCCCCACAACAACAGTGAACTTAGCAACCAGATACATATTTGTTTCAAGGGGCATTCATAGATTAGGCTTTTCATATGACCCCACAGAAAAAAGTCCAAACATGAGAGATCTGGTGATCTTGGTGGCCAAGTTATGTGACCACTTTGACCAATCCATCACCCTAGAAATTTTGTTGTTCGTATAATCAGCCATTATCTCAGCAATCTATGGTAGATGCACCCAATGGCATTTTCTTGGCATGCACCCTTTGGCATGAACCCTTTTTATACCATTTGCAATGCTAACCTAGCAGATCACCGTTTGCGTTGTGCCCAGACTTTATATAACGAATATTGTTTGTATAGCTGCGTTGTATCACCCTATAAAGTTTTGCCCCTTGTTCAGATTCACCCTGTATATCATTAGAAGTATTCCAAATTAGAGCAAAATTTCTTAAGTTCATGAACTTTCAAACATTTTTTGAAAATATTCTTTTATTAAAAATGTTTCTAATTTTAACATTCTTATTTTTGTGGAAGCAATGTGTGAAATTCTAGCCGAGATCAGAACTTTTGACTTATTTGTAGATTTGTAATTTTGTTTTCATCATTGGTATTATATGAAGTTATGCAGATTATCGGATCTTTATTTCTGATTGCACTGCCATTGTTGCTGTATTACTGTCTTGCACATTTTAAAGCATTGTTATTATTCATAATATTGTTTAAACATAATGGTTAAAAAATTACAATTAGCATCAATTTGTCAAAATTAATTTTTAAATGCAATTGAAAATTAATGTTTTCAGCAAGTATGTATAACAGTTTAACATTTGGTTAAATTAAAAGTGACTACACTAAAGCATGAACATCATATGCACAATCGAAGATTTATTAATAAAGCTTTTTGAAAACATTTAATTAGCATAAGAAATACCTTATGTACTTACAGATTGTATATAGCTTAATACAGAGCTGTTACTTCAATACAGGTAAATACATAATGTGCTCTTAAATGTAATCATTCCAGTTTCTAGTATTAGACAAACTCTGGTAGAAACATTTGATAACTGGGCATATATGTTGAGGAATGTAATGCAGTTATAGTTTGCCTAATTCATTTTCCACCGACAAAGTGCATATCAGTCATCTCCACATCAGCTGTGCATCCTTCTTGTGCAAAATCTGCTGCTCAAATGGGAATAGAAATAAGAAACAAAAATAATGGCAGTGCTTTGTAATGCCGTCAAGTTAACATTTCTGTTTCCTGTTCTAATGTGATTTCTTGAGATATGACAGATTTGCTTTTAAAGTTAAATCATTTTATATGTATACATAATAGAATTAAGTTAAAAAAGCCGGTACTTTTCCGTTTCGCCGGCGCAAATCTTGCCAAGCAGAATTTATTGGCGACAACATACAGTATACACATAAAAAATATTTAAAAAATGTTAGTTCTAAGAATTCTTTTTTTGAAGGCATAAACATTTTAATATCGCTTAAAATTTTATAAAAAGCCAATAAATAAAGACAATAAATTTCTAAAAAGACATCAATTTAAAATTTACTATGCTTTCATGGTTCAACATTCTGATTCGCCCGTTCATATCACGTGACCCCAAGCGATCTCATCTCACGTAAACTACTCTACAAAAATCTAATGCTCTCAGCAATTATCTACATTAATTTCAAGTTAAATCTAAATTTGGAAATTAAGTTTAAATGCAAGAAATATTTCAATTCGTACGAATAGCTTACTCAGAAATTATGTAAAACTGCAGTGCTTTACTTCGCTAATGCATTCTCATTAGAATTGATGAATTTAACCCTTGACTTTACCTTTTCTATATTTTCGGCTTCGGGTAAGTGCTGTGATTGCATCCTAATTGACTTAATTACCGAAAATGGCCTTAGACATAAAACTGAACTATCTGATAAAAATTCTATGTAATTATATGCCAGTATTGAAAGAAACAATCAATCTGATAAGAAAAAGCTGCGACTTGTTTTCAAAATGAGGCGTAAAAGGTTACCAGCGAAAATATTCCGTTTGGCATCGGTTGTATCATTATTGGCAACTTTATCGCTTGCGCCGGCAAAACGGAAAAGTACCAAAAAGCCTTCCCTTGTTGGTATGGTGATTGGTAAAGCTAGCTAGTCATATTATTGGATTCAAGTTTGAATCTTAGGTACAGACATTTGTAATTTTCTATCCCTCTGCCATGTAGGTGTAATGATAGTAACCCTATCTGCTGCTCCTTAGGGAATGTTCTCGGTGATGAGATAGCTAAATGACCAGTAGGTTTGACCATATCCAATGAATGCTTAATTAGTAAGTGTCTTACTGTTAGATTAGAAGGGAAAAAAAGTTCTGTTAAGAAGTTTTTAAAAACTGTAAGGTTAGGAACTTTTTAAGTGGGAAAGCTTATTAAAAGATAATAAGCTTAGTAGGATAGTTAGTGAGTAATTGAAAAATTACCAAAGGCATACAAAGAATCAGTTTAAAAATTTGTATTGCTGTCTCTATTAAATTTTTAATATAAATCTATATTTTGGTAAAACTAACTTGTAAGACTTTTTGACATGCAGTGTGTTAATGTAATATAATTCTAGCAGTTTTCTGGTTGTGCTGTATTCAATAGATGTATGCAGATAGTAATATACTTTAATATGTATGTAATGATGGACCGGTTTGGCCAATTAACTGACATAATTAGCATGGAGAATTTCAGGCTGGATCCAGTATATCAACTGAAAACCAAGTATATTATTTTGAAATTTCCATTTACCAGTTATTTGGGTACAAAAAACATCACAGCATATATCAGTAGCTCAATAGCATAAGAAACTGCTTATTTGATTTAAACTTCAGATTTTTTGTTTTTAAAGGAATAAAACTTCTAATATAAAATTTCTCAATATGTATTTTTAAAAACTATTTAAACTAAATTGGTAAAAAGTTTCATAAATTTATATACTCATGGTCTTATAGAATTGCAGTTCTTGGATGAGAAATTTAATAAATAGGAGTTTCAAATTTGACAAAAATTTATATATATACAGGACAAATCCGTAATCCGGACGTCCATTATCCGGAATGATCTATAATCCGGACCACAAAGCCGCAAACTTTTTTTTGGTATGTTTTACGCATGCACGTTGGGAGAATGAGTCTCCAGATACATTAAAAAATGCTTGGCATAGTTTATGGCCAGCTGCCATATTTCATGGTGAGGACGATGAAGGCGATAGCTGCGAATTTGAAGGTTTTCGGACATCGCAAACTAAAGGTGAAATTTTCCAGTTACTGGATTTTGTAAAGAAATGTGGAGAAGAGGTAATAAATGAAGATGATATAACAGAAGTTTTTCATTGCAACACAATGTCCCAATCATCAATCAATTAACGGATGGCAAAATCTGTTGTATGGTTCTAGATCCAGAAAATACCACTTCTGATAGTGAAGAAAATGACAGAGAGGTTATTGAAAACGAAAAAATTTCAATTGACAAGTTAGTCGGTATTCTCGACACAGCAAGTACGGGACTTGAACTGTGGAACTTTGTAACTGAACAAGAAATTATGTCTGTTTATAGAATAATAATAAAAAAAATATATTAGGGGGGGGGAAAAAAACGAAGCAACTTAAACAACTTACATTGAAAGAAATGTTTAATAAAGTAAACAAATAAATATTAAGCTTTTTTTTGTAAATTTTGATACCCTTTAGATCATAATTGCTCTTTATTTCATATTTTTAATTGTATAATTTCTGCACGCCATCTTACCAGATTTAAAATTGATGATCTATAATCCGGAATCGCCGAAGTCCATATATATATATATATATTGACTATTTTGTAACTTTTAAAATTAGACTTCATGAGGCAAAAACTTTTTGTATGGGCTTTGTTGGGTGTATTCATATACATATATGCATATGATGATTTAAATGTTGATGACATTAGTGCAGTTGTAGCAGTATGAACACCTTTTTATTCTTGATATATTTTTCACAGGGATATGGCTTAAGTTGGCACAAAAGATGAACTTTCACTGAATAATTATATCAATACTTTTTACATTTTGCTTTAAAACAGCAGACATTTTAACTTTCTTGCTGCCACTGAGAAATCTGACTGCTTTTTGGATGGCCCTGGGTTCAAATCCTGGAGAAAGTGTGGATATTTGTTAGTGTCTGTATGACAAAGGGTCACTCAAAATACTTAATGAGATGAAAGTCCTTTGAAGAAGTTTATGGTAGAGGAAGATGGGTGAGAGACCCTTAGACCGCCTCCCAAGGTGCTCTCCCTCAAAATCGGGACGATACTGCATTGTTAGTGCAGTGCGACTACTTGTATGATTATGACCAACAGTGAATTTTTGGTGTCCTCCCACTTCTACCTGTACCTGCCACTAAGAAATATGATTTCTGTTTCGCTCATATATCATAATTTGAAAGATCATTAATAATGCTATGTGATTAGAAAAATTCACTAACTTCTAATGCTAGTGTTTTATTTGTTCTTTATTCTGTTGGGAAAAAGAATAGCTGTGACGATTTTATATGCAAGAGTAGATGCATCTATAGATATCTGTGTATAAGAGATTGTTTCACTGGGAATGTAACCATTATGTCTAAAGTTAATTACATTGTCATTTTACAGGATGATACATCTGGTGATTACCGAAGAGTTTTGGTTGCCCTGGTCAATGGAATCTAAGTGTATTTTTCTTACTTATACTGCAAATCCATGTAAAAGCATTTATGTAAACTTAGGTGCAAGTCTATGTCATTTTTCGATATGCTTTCTGTTTTTTGTAGCCTTTTTTACAGTGATCTGAGAAGCAGTTGTCAAAATGTACCAGAAGTTGGAATTCAACAAAACTTAAGATTTTATCTTTGCTAGTTTTAAAGCAACATTATATTAAAAGGTACAATGAAACCTTGGTTCATGAATATAATTTATTCCTAAAGCCCATTTGGCATCCAAAAGTTTCATAAACCAACACTATTTTTCCAGTAGGAATTCATGTAAAATGGATTAATCTGTTCCTCACATATGATTGCTCATTTAAAATTTTACAACAGGTCTTTGAAATTATTAAATATAAGGGAAAAAAGGTAAATATAATCTTAAATAATTAAAACTTAAATTTTTTTTGTACCTGTATAAAGGAGAGTGGATAACATACATGCTGAGCGAGGAAGAAGATATGCTATTGTTTGAATGAGGATGCCCTTCTCATAAAAAATCAGAGAATAGTAATGTCTTTCTGGAATATTTTTTTCTTTTCTTTGCCTCTTAATACAACCCAGCTTGCAGTCTTACAGAGTTTCTATTTACCTTAAAATTTATCCAATGTGAATTATTGTTTACATTTTAAAATGTTTCTTAAGTGATACATGATATTATCACTAAAAATAACTCTGAAGCTTATTACTGCTTTAACAGGGTGATATCGTTATATGAAAACTTTGAACGTTACCCCATATTGTACAGAATTTGTGGATTAAAGAATTAGCATCATCTTATCATCCTTCCTCTGAAGACATTTGCTCCACAATTGCCTTATGTTGCTTCTTCTAAAATTGTTAGTTCTTTCTTGTTGAACTCTTTTTTTTTTTTTTTTTTTTTTTACGATCCTATAGTACAAAGTCTTCATCGTTAACTCCCAATCCCTTGGTTTTGCCTAAAGACACAATTTCATAAATAATAAAGAAATCCTCAAAGTCTTATCCTGCAGCACAATTTGGCCATAATTTCCTTCAGGCTGAATTCATGGTGCTGTCAGTCACTTGCTGCAAGACTTGAGAGCTAAAACTGAAAAGTATTAGAATGATGCTTCCAGAAATCCTTGAATGCTAATTCTGTGTCACAGATTATTTCCAAACACCTTTAAAAATTACTGTTGCTTGCTTCACTATTCATAATTTAAGACACTGTTCATAACATGAGACTTTTGTTTATTTAATTTGTTCGTGATCTGAGGTTCCATTGCATATCTTTATTAAACATGAATCAAAGTGCTTATAGCAGACTCTGTTCTGAACATATTTTGTGAAGCACTTTTAGAACTTTACTATTATCCTGATGAATATAAATTGTATGCAGTATTTTTTAACCAAAATAAATAAAGAGTATATTGATCCCTTTGTTTCAAAAAAGCCATAATTTTATTTTTTGAATTTTAATTTTATGAAAAGAGTTATTGCCTTATGTGTTTTTTTTTTAACTTTCAAATTTTATTTTTTATATATGAGCTTATTTGTTAGCCTTAAATCTTTTAGTGTATGTATATTTTAATGTTTTCATGAAGTATTTCCAGTTTGTTACTATATAGATTTTGTTATATATGCCATAAGTACTGTAAATTTTTTTATAAATTACTATTGATATGAAGATTTTTGTTGGCTTTTTCACAATCTGAAAAGTGATTTTTCAGATGTTTTTCTTTCCCTTAAGCAAGATTTCCAGAATTGAATGTAATAAAATAATATTAAATGTTTATTTTATTGGAGGCAAATATCAATGTTGTTATTTTTAGATATCTGTTGCAAGTTAAATTATAAGAATGCTTGCATGTTTATATCTTTATAACTTAAATAACTAGTTTAAATTTTTTTCTGTACTTAACTTTTTTTTTAACCAGGGAATTCTGAATCGTCAAAGATTATTTTAGAAATTTCTTTTTGTTAAAAATAATACTAGAATTCTAAATTTCTATTGAGCTTTTTTTTTTTTTTTTTTTTTTTTTTTTCCCTAAAAGCATGTAATTTATAATATTTTAGTAATTAATTTTTTGTTAAATCTAAATTTCTATTGAGCATTGTTTTTTTTTCAAACCCTGTAATTAATTTATAATATTTCAGTAATTAAATATGTTTTACCTTTAAGTATGTAATCATTTTGCATTTTTCAAGTCAAAATGAAATTTTATTTTGTATGCTTTTGTGTTAAGAGATTTCTTTGAAGTGATTGACCATCTCATGTATTGCTATCAGTGTTTTTTTTTGTGGGGGGGGGATACATGTTTCTAAATAAATAAATTTTACTCTGTCTGTGTCTATCTATTTTACTAATATATTTTCTATTTTGAAGTCTCTCTTATGCATATATATTTAACAAATGTTAATAGTTAAAATTGCTGTGCTACACAATTTTTATCTAATTTGTATGTATAAAAAATTACTTTGTGCATGGTGTCAAACACATAAATATGTAAAATTAAATGATACTCGAAGAAGATTAGGGAAATATTAGGGTTTATTTCAGCAACTGAAAAATGTATGACATTTCATTTGGCCCCCTTCTCATAGTAAAACCATGTATCCATATTAATATTGAACAGAGTTCGTACGGTCCTTAAGAGTCCTTAAGTTTTTTAGAATTGATTTTCAGTCTTTAATTTCGGCTAAAATCAGCAGATAGTTCTTAATTTTAATAATCTGAAATTTCTGTCTGTTTTTACGACTGCCATTTTGAGTGTGAATTAGCATTTTGGAGGAATATTTTTGGCAAAGATTAAATATGGTTATTATTTGAATGGGCAAATAAGTTCACGGGTTATAATTTGTTCCTATTTCTAATATAAAAATGGTGGGATACTCGAGGTTCTGAGCAAGAAGTAGACATAAGCATTTCAAAATTATTTCATCTTTCCTAATGAAGAGCTCTTGAACGACGTTTCACTTTTGGGGATGTGAATTCCTTTATTAAACGGTTCTAAATTTGGAAAGTTTATCAACATTTTGGCAATTCTGAGATCAGTTTCTTTAGAAAATTTTTAATTCTGAGATCTGGGAATTTTCCAATTTTTTCTTTTTTAAACATTGTAACATTGATAAATAAACAAGGTATATTGCAACAAGGCACAATCTACCAAACAGTTCTTAGCAAAAGCAAAATAGCTGTGTAATTAATTGAAAATGTCTTTTTAATTTTTTCATGATAAAAGTCTTTCCCATGTAATTGTCTCAAAGTGCATCAGTTTTCTCTATATAATTAATTTTACACTTTTCCCTCTTTTTTTTTCAAAATATTTCTGCCTTTTTGCTATTACAGAATTGGTAGGGGTAATTTTTCTTTAGGATTTTAGACATTGCAGCTTGGAAAGTTTAGAAGGATTTTGAAGGCAAGATTTATGGACCTACGTTTCTAGAACATTCCAGAAAAATGTGGCAAAGTGAAAAATGTCTTCATGGTATTTACACGTAATGGATGCATTTTACAGAAAGTTTGCGATGAATTTTTTACTTTTTGGAGAACGTCTGGCAGAACAATGAAAACATAATATTTGAATGCCTTACTTCTGACAGTAGAATCTTTTTCTTAACATGATCATCTTCCCTTTATTTTCCCAACTTTTCTCTAGACACAGGCATAGAAAATATCAAAAATGCTTCTAATCAACATGGACATGCATATATTATAGAAAGGAATTTTTTTATTAATAAAGAAATTGAAAACTGACAATTTAAACAATTCATCTAATATGTCTTAATGCATCATACACAGGGCTGGCACTAGGCATTTTCCCACCTGATGCAATCTCTGTGGATCTTAAATTATGTTGTCTAGTGTTCTAAATTCTAAAAATTATGTCATTCGTAGATTTTGTTGCTTGGTGTGTCACTAAATTCTAAAACTTCTGCCATACCGGCTCTATAACTGGCCCTTACCATATATGCTTCATATTTCTTCTGAATGTTTATATTACCAAAGAAATAAAATTAGCAGCTTTTTCTATGCATTCCAAATGCATTTTGATTTTTTAGAATAACAAAAATCTTTAATGAAATCCGAAAATTCTAAAATGAAAAGGAAAGGTGTTGAAGAAAGAAAATACACAAAGAGAAAGAAAATTATTCTTCAAAGATATGTACAGTTATTATTTTAAAAATGACCAGTTGCTTATAATTTCAGCCTTTATTATAATTGACCATCTCTATTTCCTGACCAGAATGAAAATAACTTTGCAATATCGCTGCCAACATTTGAATTTGTTATGATGATAGAGTTACTGAGCCACCTTAAATTAAAATTAAATTGTAAAGTTTTTGACCACTAGTCCACATTTTTAGTTTGAATTTGACTCTTCTTAATTGCATCACCACGAGCTGTAATTGACTCTGTTAGAAACATAAGAACATGCCTTTATGTTGTAAGTTCTTTTTAAATAAGGAGACTTATTTAAACCTTTGTCTGATTTTTCAGTTGCTTTCAGACATAGCAATAATTTTTTTCATGCCTGTCGGGTGGTGGACTATTTAATTTTCACTAAAAAACCCTTATAGGTACATTGTGGAGAGCTTGATAGGTTAGTTGATAAAATACACAGAAACTAGTGAGAATATTGGTTTGTGTATTGGGACAAATTTCTAATCGTTAGAAAAGATGCTTAAAGAAAAGGAAGTCTATATAAATTAGCCAAAATGTGTGGGAAGGCTTCAAAATAAAAACATGCAAAAATATTTTGTTGAGTGTTGTTAATATTGTTTAAGAATCAATGTCATAAATTATATGCAGTTTAAAATGTGAAATTTTATTAGAGTTTGATTTTAATAGTATAGTTTAATAGAGTAATAATTTTTTTAACATATATTGTTAAAAAATAAATAAAATTTAATAGTGGCCGTGTAAATCCATAATGACTAAAGTTATCTAACTACGTAATTTAATTATTTATAACTAGCTGATTACCTTTAAAAATTGTCTCTGCATATTAAAGCGAGTTATTGCCTTTCATTAATGCTTACTGTGGTCACAATATAAAACGCAAAAATGTAAAACTTAACTTTTTGCATCTAGTGAAACTTAATATAAAACAACTTATCACCTCTGGTGCTTTAGTAGCTTATTGGAATCTTAAAGTATATTAATTGATTTACAACCCCTGGAACTCTACATAAAGCTACAACACTAACTGTGTCATACAAAGCCCAATTAACTTTCAAAACTTGCCAACCATGCCTACAACAGAGTTTCAGGTTTGTTCTGATCAGCAGGTCTCTCTCTAGGTAAGCAGCAACAGTGACAACAGCTATTCTTTTGTTATGAATCATGCTGATTATGATTTTACTTTTCATTTTAACCTATATTGAAAAATAGTACATACATAATACAGTCAAAAGTCGTTAATTCGGACACCCATAATCCGGACCTAAGCTAAAAACTTTCTGCGCATGTGCCTGCGTTGGACACATGCGCACTTAGGCGTTTACGCGTGGCGCGTAAGACCTTTGACTACTGCGCATATGCATGTGCGCAAGTGCAGAATACGTTTTCGCCTGCGCGTTTAATGTATAACGGACAGTGTAAGCTAAAATTATCTAATTATCTATTTCAGTTAATGTTAATGATTGCGTTGTTACTTAATCTTCGAATTGGATCCCGCTTATTATTTTTTGCAGACTGTAAGAGCAATTTTATAAAAGTAAACTTGAACTTTCGATTATGTCAAATAGAATTTCCAATGCTGGAACTTCCAAAGGATCTACAAAACGAAAGTATGTTTCGATGTCCAACAAACAAAAAGTGGAATTGCTGCAAAAAATGGATAAAGACATGAAGAATGTGACAGAGAGGTTAGTGAAAACGAAAAAATTTCGATTGACAAGTTAGTCGGTATTCTCGGCACAGCAATTAACGGGACTTGAACAGCGGGACTTTGTAACTGAACAAGAAATTATGTCTGTTTATAGAATTAAAGAGAAAGTATTATCACATAAAATGAAGCAACTTAAACAACTTACATTAAAAGAAATGTTTAATAAAGTAAACAAATAAATATTAAGCTTTTTTTTTTTTTTTTTTTTTTTTTTTTGTAAATTTTGATACCCTTTAGATCATAATTGTTCTTTATTTCATAAATTACGGTTTCATATTTTTAATTTTAGAATTTCTGCATGCCATCTTACGAGATTTAAACTGATGATCTATAATCCGGAATCGCCGAAGTCCCGACGAGTCCGGATTAACGACTTTTGACTGTAGTCATAAACTTCTTAATAATTATGTTAACTAAGTTATGTTTAGCAATGCATTCTACTTACAGATCTATTTTATTTTTAGATGGTATTACAAAAGTAAAGTTTAACATAGATAATATTTTTAATTGAATTTATTCAGTTCCCATTTCCTCTTAGGTCCTTAATTTTTTTATTAATGGTCCTTAAAAACATGCATAAATATTTTGTTGAGTGTTGTTAATATCGTTTAAGAATCAATGTCATAAATTATATGCATTTTAAACTGTGAAATTTTTGTTAGAGTTTGATTTTAATAGTATAGTTTAATAGAGTAAAAATTTGTTTAACATATATTGTTAAAAAATACTTGATTTTTGTGTGCAGAAATGTGTATGAACCCTGTTGAAAGAATTTCAAGGAAGGTTTAGGCTGTTAAATACTATCACAAATCTGCAAACATTTTAACATAAGGAAAGTCTGAATATATGTCTCTGTAGAATAAAAGCGTAAATATTCCTGTAATTACATTGGAATCTGAGAAAATGAAGAAAATTTTTTAAAATTTTCAAATGGCATCATAAAAATTTTAATTGAATGAAATTTGGCTTATACTTATTCCCACTTTCAAGTACAATGATGAAATGAATATAAAAAATACAAAGTTTTGAAGTTCATTAACGTCTTCAATGTATTTATTGACTTATAACTAGAAGCAGGTATATTTGAAGCCTCAAATCGCATAAATCTTGAAAGATTCAAGAACTTAAATATTTAACTAACTTTTC